TCAGTATCTAAAACTAGTGACGAGTGTTCACTTAGGTGCCGAAAATATAGAATATTATCATTTAGCATTTTCGCAAATGTAAAACACTGTTATGATTAATGACTATATATTATGGTGGAGGAAAAAGGCAAATAAAAATTCGATTGAAAAACACGCAATGTTGGGATGTATTTCAAAATAGATTAAACAATTACGCGAATTAAACAATGAGCAAAAGTCGAAACTCGCAGAAATAAAATAAAATTGTAATTCGGCATAATAGAAAAACTAAATATTACCGACAGTGGTATAAAAATGAAATAAAATTATAATTATGTTAAAGCCTAAATATAATATTATTATCATCGTATGCATATACAATTATGTGGGTAGAATAACATTGTTATCATTTATTAGTTTTTTTTTTCTTTTTGTTGCTTTATAATATTATCCAGAAGTCGTGCTCTTTAATTTTCATTATTCCCATGTCACCACCATCCACCACCATCATCTCATACGGTCATAATCACTCCCTTCACCACTTGCTCAGAACATAATAATATAAAATATACCCTGCAATTCCTGTATTTTTGAATTCATATGATATTCATAACTAGCTGTACTGTTAAATTCAGATTTAATTGTATTTTCATCTCTTCGTAACTGTCGCCGTTTACAAAGATATGTTATAGTATATTATTAATTATTGTAATGTCCATTTATAAATAAACTATTACAGGTTAATATTAGTTTTTTCGAGCAAGCTGGCCGCTTTCGGGTGCATCCTCTTTTGATTAAAAACATAGAAAACGGGGCTAAGTGATGTACCGAGGTCTGGGTTCTTTGTCTCATCTCACTAGTTTGTAGTTACCGTGTATTTGTAGTCAGTATAGTAACACATACCTACATTGGTTACTGCTGCAGATACTAATTATGTATACCGTGTAACGCAATAACCGACTTGCACCTACGCATAAGACCGCATAATTAATTGTATCACAGAGTAAACAATACAGCACGTGACAATACAATATAATATCATACTGTAAATTGTATATATAGGTATAATATTAATTTAACATTATATCATTACCAGCTATGTGGCTATATATATATAATATTATTATTTTAATATGAAGTATCTCAATAAATGCCATATATTATTAATAAAGCCGTTCTTTTATTTCCAACAAAATAATAATTTTTTTCGTAAATTGTTTCACATCAATGACGATGATAATAATAATAATAATAATAATCGTTAAATATTATATTATAATATAGTGTATCACATAAAATTGATGGTCACATTTCCCGCGTGCTCTTTCTAAAAATAACATTCATGTAACAATGTAAGCAAAAAAAAAAAATTCGAAGTAATTATTATGAATATATCTTTGTTACGATAAAATAATTGTAATAGTAAACGTGAACAATGAAAGTGCAAAAAAATAGACTCAAAAAATGAAACACTCTATTATTGTACTAGAGAACAATGAAAAATATATTCATAAAATTTGTTTCTTCTTTACAATATTAATGTTAGGATTGAATATAGTAAGTATAAAAAATAAAACGCTCTCAAAAAATTGCCTAAAAAAATCTAGGCCTATATAAAAATGCGTAAATTTAATTTAAACATTGAACGAACAGTAAAAGAAAAACTTACATACTAAAAGACCATCTAAAATTAGGAAGTCTGTATACTTTACAATTAAAATTACCTAAATATTACAAAAAAAATTCATTTAAATCTACCCGTACACATATAATATGTATCATATAAGGAGCTGGTCACATCATTACAACATGTAAATGTAACAATATAATATTATATTTAGTTCGATTATATTGTAATTAACATCTATAAATAAATAATTAATAAATAAGAAAGACAATTAATTAGAAGTAAATACATTATATATTATGTATCATCATGATATATATATATACATGTATTTATAATATATAATATAGGAAACGTGATTAAAATTTTTAAAAATAATAATAATAGTAATAATAATTTGAGATCTTACGACTACTCATCATTTAATATTAAACACGTCACAATAATATTATTATATCTAGAACGAATAGCACGTATCAGTCTTTTTGGAAATGATATTTAAGTATATTATAATAGATTTAGTTTTTAAAAATGTAAAGTAATTAGATAATAACAATAGTATTGTAGCCAATATTTCATCGTCCTGTAAAAGCGGTGCACTTCAAGCGGTTATTTTTTAATATTGTTATTTCGGTGTTCTGCAGTCATAACAGTAGAGTAGCCAGGGGAGGGGCTGAGGGAGCTGCAATCCCCCCCCCCGAAATGTTAAGAAAATCAAAAAATTATTTTAATGGTCTATGATAGTCGCTCTAAGTCTTAAATTGTATTTAAAATATTAAAAAATGTAGTATGAGTATTAACACTTTTCAGCTATCAATCAGTACTAGTAAGTATTAATGTATAAAAGTGTAAAAGTTGATCAGCCCCCCCCCCCCGAAAAAGAATCCTGGCTACGCCTCTGAGGTATAATACCATTACAAGGTACACACTTATCTGAGCTTAATTATGGGTGTGCAACAACAACAACAATAATAATTTCTATTGAATAAGTGAAAATATAAAATGGCACCTACTATGTACGAAATAGCGTTTTACGGCTATAAAAACCCCCGCTAGCACGTCTATAGTTATGGAGAAACCTACTCATAATCAATAATTTATCGATGAACGCAGAGTTGAAATCGCGTTTTATGTTCGGCCACATATACAAAAATAATAATAATAATAACTATTATTATTATTATTATTATTCGACAGCTAAATAGTACACCGCCGTCACACGCCATAATAATATAATAAACATCATGCATACTGAACTGCGGGGGTGGCAAGACATATATTTCCTATTAGGATAGCGACGCGACCTACAACATATTTTGTTTCTCGAATGATCGACTACTATATATTGGGGATGAAAACCCTACCGGGTGAACAATAATGATCATCATGATACGAGCAAGTTAAGCAAGTTATACTGTACGAAACCAAAATACAATATCTGATAAATAACTATACGGGGAAACAAGAGTTTTATAAGAGCCGAGCATCTGCCAAACGACTATAATACTGTTTTGCAATTTTTCTAAAATGTTGGCAAAAAAAATGTGGACGGCCATGCTTCCACACCTCACTATGCTCGTCAAAACCAAAACAAAACTGATTGTTATATTGTATATAATATCTGTATTCATCGATATAAAATGTATTTTTGTTTAAGGGCCGAGGCCGTTATTTTTCTGGAAATTAAATTTACAACATTTAGTCTGGATCTATAGGTAGGTACTCTAAATTATTGGTATTGGTATCTCTCTCAACGTGTACAGAATAAATAAATAATAGAAAAACGAGACTATTGGGTTCACTTTCCACGTTGCAGGAAAAATGATAAACGTACAATAATATACCTATAGGTACCTCGATGATGATTTGATTTGGAGAGACTCGACAGAGATGTCGGCAAATTCTTACCGAGCACGCACACCTATTCTCATCATATGTACGATTTAACGTCATAATATTGAGCATCGACAATAGGGTAGCGCACTGATTCCAACGAGCTGTGATGATTATTGCAATTATACGTATCATACATGTCAATCACTGCGTGTCCGGGTTACGTATATACGTAGATAGACGAAACAAAAGCCACCAGCCACTACAGTAATAATAATAATAATTTGATCAATACAACCCCTCGTATAGTTTGGTTTACCTTTATCATTTATAATAATATTATTGTCTTTACATGTGCCAATAGTAGTGTTGTTGTTGTTATTATTACAAATTACTATTGTACCGAATTCAACGGACAATGCCATCATATACGTATGTGATGATGATGATATAAACACGCCACTATAGCCACTTGTACATACAGAGCGAGTCGCCGAGCGATGTTTTCCCACGCTCTTAACACGTTGATATTATGAAGAGTAGTTGAAACGGGAAAACAGGAAAACCCTGCTGCTCGTCCTGTATATATCGTACCCGTTCGTACGAAACGCGAGCGCCAAAGTCCACGAAAAAATTATATACATATTGTATACATAAAGAAGTTCTAAAACCGTACGGACTTTCGGAAAGTTTTCCTGAAAATTTAAATAGAATGTTTTTCTTCACTCCGAGATATCAAAGTTAATATATTTCTTCAGTACGAAAAAAAGCTTTGGCTTTGTACGGATTCTTGTGAATAATATTATTATAATATACACAAAGCGATTTAATTTTTTTTTTTTTTTAATATAACGAAAACGTGTTTAAAAAACTGATTCCAAACGTCTCCAAGACGCCACACTTAGACGTCTGGACTTTGTGCATATAATATTATACCTATAATATGATTAACCGAATCCAATCGTCGAATGGTTTTCTATTTAATAGACACGCAAAGTGGCACCCACACAACTCACATACCTATATTGGTCGAATAAAAGACGATCGGTCGGATACTAAAACTGTTGCCCGCGTGCTTCTTACATATTATTATGATATATTATTATTTAGTAGGTGTATATTATGACAATATATTGTGAGGACTCTGAAACACTGGCCCCCTGAATCGCGATCGTGTTGTCAGCGGTGCCGGGTACCTATACCGGATACATAATATATATATATATATATAATATATATATTGACCTAGATTACTGATATCCTATACGATTTGCTAATGCTACTGCAGACAAATTAATGTAATAAATATATATTATAATCATAATTTAAACTTGCAGTGGAAAACCACTATATTTTAATCTGAGTGAAAATTGAATCAAACGTTATCTACATATAACACTATTATATTGTAAACGCGTAAAGGTATTATTATAGAAAAATGAAAACAGTCCGCGCGATACGGATCGGAAATTATTATAATACTATTAAATAGTGTCGAGTATTATATTAAATCATTTGGTGGGCTTCCAGGAAATGTTGTCGATGTGATGCAGATTTCTTTTCAGACTTCCGCCGTCGGCCCAGGAGGAGTTAAGATACACGTCGTCATCGTCTTGGTCAAGTTTCTGAAACATAAAAACGTAATATTATAAAATTATATCTCGGAACATCTCATATAGCATAGGACTCGAAATAAATTAAACCAAAAAATAAAAAAAATCCATCACAACTATAAATCATATTTTTTTTAGGAATTTTAACGTCTCCCCTCGCACTGTACATCACGGATAATATTATTTTTATGACTTTACTCGGGGGTGCACCTTCACAAAGTTTTTTATTATTAACGAGACCTAGGAGATGGGGGCCTCGGTCCCATGATTCAGTAACTGAATACAATGCGTATTTTAGTATTATATAATAGGTACGTGCGTCGTGCGTATTTATTAGATTATTAGAGTATTTTATAGGACCCTCGATAAAATATTATGCAATCCACTCTATACGACGATTATATTGTAACATTGGAAATCAAAGTGCATGTGAAAGAAATCTCGTTTAATCTACATTATATACTGATTTTAAATAAATAAATTATAAATAATATTTTATACTTGCAGGGAGGAAAATCCGTATTTTAATATTGGTGTCAATTATTGAAAATAGTTTCAACAGTTTTAGTGGGTACACATATGGGAATTATATTAAATGTACGATGAATATTTGAGATATATTATACATAATATGTAGGTAATATTTATGATACTAAGAAGGTATGCGAGGTATGACTTATGCGTCAAATATTGATTTTTTTTTTATTAATATTTAATTGGTATTTATGATTGATTTAACTGTGTACACATATCTGGAAAGGTAAGAATAATAATTTAATCATAATTTATATAGTTGGATAAGAAGTGTTGTCCCATGTACAAAATTGGCATTAAGAGACAATTTAACAAATAATCATAAATCACTAGTTGGATTAAAACTCGATTATGGATCATTCGGATTATCAAACTCCTAGATTCAGTTTATAATTCTGGAATAAGATGTTCAATGGGAGCCTTTAGAAGTTGCCCTATTGTCAGTATATGAGCCATAACCACAACTTCAGTACCGTAGTATGAAACTATCATTTAAATATATAGCTCGAATTTTAGCAACGCCGGATAGGTGTCCTCTATATAAATAAAAAACATTTTACACTTATATATTATAATTTATGAGGTAAACACTAAACTCATAAAACCATGAAGTTTAAGACTACTGAAATAAATTTCAGACGACAATATTATCCCCGACACAATTCACCAACGTGAAACTAACCCATGCGGAGTTCACAAAATTATAAAATTGATACCAGTCTACGTGTTCGCTTAAAAAAAAAGAAACGGCTGAACTAGTGTGTAGAAATGTATTTAATATTTTTTTTAATGAACTATCAACATACTGCCTATTGCAATATCCAAATCTATACAGACGCATCCAAAACCCATACCGGCTTAGGGCTTGCAGTTATACATCAAAACACAATTCATTTATTTCAATTGAATATTCATAGCAGTATTTACATAGCTGAATACGTAGCCTTTCTAAAAGAAATGCAATCAGCCCTCAAGATACATAATACTAGAATCGATATCTGTTCCGACTCACTCAGTACCTTGTCTATAGTCTGAAATATAGTACGTAGACAGATTACTTGGCCATAAAAACTAACAATATCTGATGTACAATAAATATATACATTTTATATGGACTCCAAGACATTGCAATACAATGGGAAATTAGGAAGCCGACAAAGCAACCCGAAATGCAATTAATAATCGTAACAGCAACTTATTTTTCTTTTTATCATTAGTAGACATACACAGAAATGTTGATAAATACTGTATGTATGCCTACATTTATGCAACTCAGAAAGGCACCAAGAAACAGAAAATAAATTAAGTGAAATTTAGCACTCCGTTGAACTCTGACGAAAACTCAAAAGTTTATGCCGTAAAGAAGGAGTCATATTAAACAGACTCAGAGTTGGTCACACGGAAGTCACACATGGATACCTGATTGGAAAAACAGAACCTCCCATATTATGCCCTACATGCAACACAAACATCACAATAAAACACATAATTATCGACAGTATAATATTCATAGAGGCCAGAGATGAAGGCCAAATTCCAGATAACCTGCACGAAGCAATAAAGCACTATACAAAAATAATTTCTTTCCTAAAAATAAAAATTGAATTGTACAACTCAATATAATGTAAATATTATTCCATACGTTTAAATAATCCAAGTCCAACTATTGCATTATTGTAAGCTAATAAGTTATTAGCTTACAATAACCCATTTAATACTTAAAAAATGGGTTTAAGCAATAATAATAAAAAAAAAATTATAAATAACTATACTCTGCATTATCTTATATCTTATATCCTATTTATTTATACATTTAGAGATAAAAAGTGAACTTAATTAACTAATGACGCTATAAGTAAGCTACAAAACGAAGCCAAAAAGAGTGGACTGAGAATAATAATAATTATAATAATTTATAATTGCAATAAATTAGGTAGTCGTCTGAGGTACTTGTCTCCTGAGCGGTTAACTCACAACTGTCCTGTGCAAGTGTACAACCCATATAATCATTATTTTATTGTCTTGGCGCGCGCAATGCAGCTATATTATTATTATTATTATTATTTTGTGTTATTTTGCTGTTCTTAGTACGCGCACGCGCGTTCTTATGAATTCTCGTGGAGAGCTTTGGAAAGCGAAAGTTTATTTTTTACGGCTCGTGAGTCACGAGTGTAGACGGTGATTACAATACGGTGGGGAAATACCCATCCAAACGCCTCAAGGGGCGAGGACGGATGTTAAAATATATAAAATAAGCTACTGTTCCTCAACCGTTTTAACATTATACAGCACACCGTACGAAGTAATGATAAATAATAATATTTGGTAATAATATTACAGTTGATAAGAATTGATTTCAAAACAACTATCGACAGTGGTCGATTTTTTGTGGAAATTCGAACAAACATGAATCATTATATTAAGCTCTTTGTGCTTCATAACTTATCACAAATACTATAGATAATCTTTCGTATTTCTTATCACTAAAACGTGTTTTCGATTTTTATATAGTACTCCTCAATTACAATGTGATAGGTACAGTTATGATAGTTGAGTACAACTTAAACAAAAACAAATCAAAAGTCGTTTAATTATTCTAAACGATATTTAATTAAAGTACTCGAGAACGACGCAACGTCAGATCCATTGCTGCGACTAAATACAATTATAATTCGATATAAGTTATATTATTATGCCGTAGACTCTATTCGAAAGATATTATGATTATCATTACCTACCGTTTAAAATACGACAAAAATTACGCACGCATATGCAATATAGACAAATTTAGTAGTATAATATCATGATATATAATATTTTAATATAGTAAGTTGTCTCTAGAGTTCATAATATTTATCGAATGGGTCATTGGGTCATTGGGTCAACGGTCTCGCGAATCGCGATGTGCGTTGTGGGTACGGGATGAAAAAGAAGATCATGCGCTCGCGTGTTTCATTGGAAATTCAACGATTTCGTCTCAACGCTGCGCCCCCGGAAAGGCTCGTCCGTACCGCCAAAGTCGATTCACCGCCGCGGGCACCACCATTTTGTCCGATTTTAATGTTTCTAAATTCATATATAGAGGTACATGTTATATACGCGGATAAATCGCCAAAATCGAAGTAACGAGGTGAACCACGCATCTATATCAAGTATCCAAATATACTGTTGTGTGGGTGTGTGTAATATATATACTTAGCTTGGGAGGGGACGATAATTAACGTTTAGATTTATCGCGTTTACACAGCACGCACACGTAGGTACGTCGTAGGAACGAACGAGCTCGTAGAGATACGCGTGATACGAAAGAAACGCGATTGACGCAGGAGGAAAGCTAACGAGTCGATTGCAAAAAAAAAAAAATACAAACCCGGCCGATTGCTGCTGCACAGATACGGTTTACAAGGAGAGAAATCGATTTCCCGGGTAAATTATGGGTTTTGGCGAAATATGTTTGTTTACCAGGACCCGAAAACCGTGAATACACGGCTCACGCGTACATATAAGTACACGAAATGATGCGGAAAACGCGTTTGTACCTACTTCTAATACGATGGGCATCAATGACCGCAATGCGAGCTGCACACGGGGTACAATAAGATTTTTATCATACAATGATATATAATAATCAACGAGAAAACGGAACCTGATATACATATTATAGTTTGGAATGGTATAGATCCGGTAACGGTACAAACACTTTAATAGACGATTAACACGTATCTGTACACAACTAAATACAGGATAGGAAACTTTGTTTTCTCGTTTCCCTCATGGGAAAAAAAGGGCAAGTGACCCACCCTGTGTACATCACCTAAATTATATAATATACACTATAATATTGTATTACGTATAACCTACTAGACATCGATAGCACTACATAAATAAATAAACTATTTACTTAATTGAATGTCATTTATAAATACATTCTTTCACGCGTCCGGTATGCCTGCACGATTGAAAGAACGAAGTCTTAATTCCCTATATTATGATAAATACTATAATATATTTTATTAACTCCTCACAATGTTTGTCTATACATACTTCCGACTTCAAATCAACATTACAAGACTACAACGTACGAATACCGGTTCCAAGCTAGAATTATTATTTAAACATTTAATAGCTTATAAATAACAACAGTTTAACATTTTTATTTTTAAATTATTATAACCGAACGCAAATAAAAATTGGATTTGTAAGAATTCGGATACTTCAAAACTTTTATGATATGATCAAATGTAATATATACCTACTTTATTTTTGGACTTACAAGTAATATTGATGTACATTTTTTTTTGAAATTCTACATCGTATGTCATGTTTATTTCGGACTTTCTGTTTGTGCATTAAAAATTCGTTAGCCCTATTAATGGCGTACATTTAACATAAAAATAGGCACTGACGCTTGTGTTGTAAATAAATTCCCAATGGGAACCGACTCGGACTTATATTGTATAAAAAGAGAAAACCACAAT